TCTGAGAAAAAAGTCAGAATTCTGACTTTTTTCTCATGTTAAACTGAAATAAAATTTAAAAATCAGTTTTCTTTTTTTTTTTTTTTTTCAGTGGCCCTAATCCTCTTACCCTAACCCTAACCCTTAAATAAGTGGTCCTCCTAAATGTCAATCATTCTGGTGATTTGTTTACTTAAGGCTGTCCTACGTGCTAAACCTGTCAGCTATCTTTTTCTGCGCATTTGCACTTTCAGGCGTATATTTGTGGTAAGCTATTGTTTCAGCCAGTCATTGAAGCTTACCTTTCTCACCTTGTCTACGAAGTGCAGAAGAAAAGAAAGGTCTAGGAAGAGTCAGATATATCCCGGAATGCTTTGCGCGGAGAGCCCAAAGCATTATGGGATTTGCTATCAAAGCAGCGCGCTATCGCCATAGGCACTACAAGTCGACAGTGACAGTGGCAACTAATAACAAAGATGGCTTTGGTCCAGGTTTGGTCAACAGGCAGAGTTCAGCAGGAGTTTGATGACAGGTCAGGCAAACAGAAAAGAACAGGGACAGGCAGTCTTAGAGGTCCAAAGACAGAACGGGTAAGGATCAGGCAATCAGTAACACTAAGGTATGCTAGAAAACTCTCTCCACTTGCTCAAGAATAACTTGGCCCTGATGACTGGAAACAGGCCAGTTAAATAAAGACTGGAGTAGGTGAATCAGATGAATGGTAATGAGAAACTGGGCGGAGCTAGGCAGGTGAACAGAATGAACAATCAAGCCAGTCATCAGCTCCAAGATCATGACACTGTATCACAAATTCCAACATTGCACAGTCTGAGAACTGTATTTGTCACCTGAAGATGAAGATAGTGATGGCAAGGAGGGTAAAAGTTTCAGAATCCAAGAGTAACACAATTTACATTGCAGTTAGGACCGAATAAAACATGGCAACAGGACCCCAGCACCACCAGTCTCTCCTAAGTAAAAACCAGAGAAAGAAAGTGGCCTGCAGCTTCACCAACACCTCTATAAAAAACCCCTCCAAATAATCTTGATGTGTGCATGTATTTGTGTGTTACCGTACACACACAATCGTTGTGTATAAAGATGTGTAAATAAAAGCAGCTTTAAACTGTGGCTATATCCAGACGTTATCAGATTCCATTGCTTGCTCATTAAATTAAGGTCATTTTCCTAAATATCATAAATATTGTAGCTGGACTCTGTATCGTTTGTAAATTTTCAGTAGGAGGATTGAAGTTATATTATTTTGGATATATTTATGGGATGTCTTTTATTAGTTAATTCTGATTGTTTACCAAGTGTTTCTGTGCTTCGCCAGCTGGGGTCAGTATCAGCTGTAGCTTTCAGGGAAATATGGCATTATCTGATCTGATGAGGCCTGTCTCAAAGTTAGGAGTCCATGAGTGCAATGTAGAGATTAATGTTGGATATCCTCTATTATATTTCCAATTCTATCAGCTATAGGGTTCTAAACTGAGCCTGGTTCTGAATTGATTTGGCCATAAAAATGAGTGTAAAGTGAAACAAAAAGGGAGAAAGGCTTCTGAGCTAAGGAAAAGTAAAACATCTTATCTTGTTTACTGCTCTCTTCTTGATAACATCTCCCTTTTCCATACTTTAATTTCCCCTCTACTAAACCAAAGGATGGGTGTGACAAATGACTGCATTTTTTGTAAATTATAGATGTTATATTAGTTTCTCTTCTGAGTAAACTAAACTCATGGGTGCCATTATGGAGAGGGTTATTGCTCAACTTTTAAGGCTAGGAATAAACCCGACCTCTTGCTAGCTTATAGTTAGAATGGTTCAGGTTTTCCTCATCTTTCTCTATACAGTAGTTATGCCTCTATAGGCTTAGGCTGCTGGAGGACACAGGAAACACTTTTCATTATTCTGCTTTATTCTAAGTCTATTCTCCAACTCTGAATTACTTTTTAATTCAAACTTTATTTTAAACTCTCCTTTTTTTGTCATAGTAGCTTCATCTGGCCTGGTGCCCTTTTTATCTGTGACCCCATCTTGAATCAAAATAGCAGCTGGGCTGCTGCAATCAACAAACATTACAGTTAAGAGTTGGGTCTGTTTTCCAATTTCCACTCATCTAATCCACCTGCTCCTGCTTCTTTATATATGGCTCAGTCCCAGCTATCAGGGCCAGATTATTCTGCCTCACAACCACTGAGCTGGCCTGTTCCCATCTGAATGTTTCCGCCTGAACTCCCTGTGGACTCCTGGATTCCTGAACCAGCCTGTTCTTAGTGGTATCCCTGACTGGGCTTTGGACTCCTGTTTGCCCTCTGGGACTGCAGCATCGGGGACACTCTGGGCCGTGCTCGCCACATCTAGTTGTCAGCCCTCCAGCTGAATCCTACAGCGTTCTATGGAGATGGACAGAACTGACAAACCAGGTAAGTAATTCACAAGGATAATCACCCTCCATCAGTTTATCATGGTCCAACCAGAGTTTCCATTGATGGGCGTCTGCTTATCTTCTCAGACCCTCTGTCAACCTTGGCAGATGGCCTTTCACACCAAGCTGGTTCTGAATTGATTTGGCCACTTGAAGTGACTCTAACCATCCTTAATGCTGTGTATTTGATAACCTCTCCCCTTTACCTCCCCCAAACTAAAGGAGATTGGTGTGACAGATCACTGCATGCACTTGTCATTTTGTGTACAGTTTTTTGGATGACCCAAATGTAGAGACGGAAGCTGAGGTGGCTTTCTTGTAGTTTAATGTGATCCAAACAAAACACAGAAACACCAAAAACCAGGAGACACCAGGGAAAACACACATGAGGAAATAAGAAACAACGAGGAACCAGGGGACTAAAGGGGAGTGGGAGTAAATACGTCAACCTTTCCAAGATGGCGCTGTGCATGCAGCAGCCTGTTACGTCGACTCTGTGTTCTCCTTTCCTGCTTTCTCTATTTTACATTGTTTTTTGGATTGGTTTCTATTAGTGAATGCCCTATCTGATATTCTGAAAGTATGTGCACAGATGAAGCCAACTTCTGGGTCTATGGTGCTGAGGTTTCTCCTACTTTCAGCACTTTTTGATACTGCAATGGAAGATCCTTTTGTCTGCGACTCCAAACCCATTGTTCACACACGGGAGCAGCTAATAGGACTACGTGCTGCTCCACAACATGCTGCGGGACTGCAGAAATAAGGAGAAAATGGAGGGGTGCAGAGTTGCTAGGATGAAGCAGAGGAAAAGACATTTCCCATTGGCTATCATTGGAAACGTAAGATTGCTGCGCAACAAGACTGAGGAGATTGCAGCTTTAACCCGCTTCATAGGGAGATACAGAAAACAAAGTATCATGTGCTTCACTGAGACGTGGTTAGATTAGCTTAAAGTGGACAAAGTGGTTTCCCTGGACGGCATTAAACTTATCTGTGCAGACAGGACTTCAGCAGAAAAAAGCACTTCACATGTTAAACAAGGGAAAACAAAACCCTGCCCCTTTTTTATGCAAACGTTAAAGACGCCTACACACCCCCTCCCCCCACTAGGAAGCTCGGATCATAACCTTGTCTACCTGACTGGGGTAATGCACAGATTGGGAGCAGGTGAGGACAGAATAATCTAGAAGGTAGCTACAGGAAGGAGACTGACACAAGAGGGCAACAGAGGGTAAACAAGAAGTACATATAACTCAAATACTTGAAAACACAGTAAAATGGAAATGAAAACTTAAACAGAACCAAAAAGTGCAAAACCATAAAAGTATTGTATAATTCAGACCTTATTTCAGTTTCTCTATCAATTGATCTAATCTCACATTAGTATTGTTACTGAAGGGCTATATGGTTCAGTTTCATCAAGAAAAAAAAATCTGTTCCATCTATCAAAAGATCTGTTACTGTTCCATGTGGGATAGAGAGCCTATTCAATAGTATCAAAAATCCTCCATCGCTCTAAATAAACAAGCTCCCCCTTATATTAGAGTTTGGAATCTTCCTGATAATATTAACAGAGCACTTCACTCTTAATGGGCTACTGAGGTCAACAGCCATCAAAGATTATAGCGCTGGACCTGTTTCCCTCCTACACATATCTATGGGCTCAGCTTTTACTGTGACTAAATGTATGTGCTC